CCCCCCCCCCCCCCCCCAAGGTGGCACGGCCCTGCATGTAGAACCTGCATAAGATTCAGTATGAAGCATACTAGATTTAATTCTGAAATATATCAGTATATTCAGTATATTTATATAATTATATAAAACAATAGGAATGAGCAGATAAATAAGGACTGACCAGCTCTGTGATTAGAAAACACTGCCAATGCGTGGGTATCATCCACCCACTGAATATCCAAACCTTGTTGTCTAAAAATAAATTGGACTGTTGAATTGCGTATCAGGATATGCCGGTAAATAGAACTATAATAACAATGACAATATTATACAGTCATGTCAGTATGTATATATAACTTACTGGAAATTTGATAGGGCATTTATTAGATCGTGATTCTTAAAATCTGGAGAAAAGTCATATAGTTCCACGACATGATCAAATACTATAAAATAAAACGAGTAAATTAGTCTTGCCAAAAAGGATTCCTAATTAAATTGACAGAAAGTACTAGTACTAATAATTTTGTTGTACTATTTTGTAGTTCCCTGTATAGTGTTAAGAACGTGCTTAAAAATACAAAACGTTTCATTGTAAAACATTGAATTTGCCCTACCAATTTCAGTTATCGTAAAATGTGTTCACTCCAATAACTTTTAACATAATGTTTCATAATATTAAAATACAGTATCTTTAAGATTTGGTTAGAGCGAGCTGAAAAATGCACAGTTTTTCGCAACAGTGATTTTTACTGGCTCAATTTAACAAATGAATTGCTTTTATATTATGCGTTTTAATGGCACATCATGAGAAATGTGTCCATCGGCAAAACAATCAATTGGACGAGGTCGTCTGAACACTTACGTAGTGTAGTGAAAAGAACTACTGTAGTTTAACAAACAATTAAGGAACATTCTTACAAACTGCCAATAAAACATAAACGTCGTGTGGTTTCGTGTAGATAGATAAAACGATCCACAATACCTCCGTTTTCCAGAACAATGTCATTTGGCTTGAAAGACAAGTAGTCAAACTGCGGTTTAACAACCTGAACGTTCTTTGTGCCGATCTGTTCATTCAGCTGAAAATTAGAAACAAGGAAAATCTAGAATACTGATATCAGTGACTGAATCTAGAATAAGACCAGACCTTACAGTACATATAATAAAAGTTACAGTATCTTCTCACCTCAGCTAACATATGTTCATCTAAACATTCTCCGTCATCATTCCACGTTTTTTCCCAGTCCTCTTCTGCGCTGTCCTCGTTGCCATTATCTTCCTGGTTTAAACTGTGATCATCAGAAACACTCACTTTCAGCAACGTATCTTTAGATTCTCTCACAACTTTTAACACCTGATCACCAGCTATCGAATTTGTTTCTTTTTCTTGTTGAATCTTAACTTCTTTATCACTTTTTCCTTTCTTTCCCGAATCAAGAACTTCACCTCCTTTAGCCATAGTTTTTTCTTTACTTCCTGCCTGATTTTCTTTTCGTTGCTGAATCTTAACTTCTTTAATGGCTTTTCCTTTCTTTCCTGAATCAAGAACTTCATCTTCCTTCGTTGCTCTTTTTTCTTCACCTTCACTCTTCTGCTTTACTGTTTTCTCAGATTTTGTTTTCACTTGCTTTTTCTTTAATTTATCTTCTTTCTTTTTAGCTTTCTCCTCTTTCTTGCTTTGTCGTTTACTCTTGCTTTGTGAATGCGATTGAACCTGTTTCCTATTTTCACTGTCCACCATACTTTCGTTATTTCCTATTGTTACATGTATTTTGTCATCATCATTCGAGGTACTTTTTGTTTCAACCTTTCCTTTACTTCCAGTACTCTCAATACTTTCATTATTTCCCTGAACTATTTTGTCCTCATCATTCAAGGTTTCTGGCTTGCATTGCCATTTCTCCTTGCTCTGTGTTTCAATCTTTTCCTCACATCCACTATCCACCCCACTTTCATTATTTTCCAGTGCTATTTTATCATCTGTATCATTCAAGTTCTTTTTGTTCTGTTTAGGTTTACTCTCTCGTTGTGCCTCGGCGTTTCCTTCATTTTCTTTATCCACCAAACTTTCATTATTTCCAAGTGATATTTTATCATTCAAATTCGTTCTGTTGTATTGTTTAATTTTGCTTAGTGCCTCATCTTTACTTTCACTAAACACCATACGTTCATTCTTCCCTTGTGTTATTTTGCCAACTTCATTACTCAAGTCGCCGCTCAACGCTTGACTTGATGCAGGCATTTCTTCTTCTGTTATATCGGACATAACGGAAACAGACTTTATGCAACCAGAAACATCAACACTGTCTTCAACGTTTGTTTTATTATCGTGAATATTAACATAAGACTCTCTATCAGCCATACACGCTGTGTTAGTTCCCAAACGTTCAGTAACACTATCTACAGTATCCTCAACTTTTGTTTCTGCCAACTGCCTTTCATCTCCCATAACATTTATTCTTTCCTCTACTCCTTCTTTAGAAGCATTTCCTTTCTCTTTACTTTCATTCATCGATTTCTCAGAGCCACTACTTTTATTTGGAAAAATTTTAGAGTCACTTGATTCAGATGAAGTTATTGGAACCTCCACTTGGATGGCTTTCTTACTTGTCTTGCCACAATTCAATTTGGTATGATCGTTAGTCTGAATGGTTTCACACGTATCTTCCAGAAGGGTGTCTTCAAATGTAGTACAGATTTCTTCCTGTTTCTCACATTTTTCTGACATAATTTCATTGTGAACGTTACTATTTGCAGAGCAATCAAAACGATTCGTTTGTCCTACATTGTCACGTGATTGCAAACTATTTGTAACATTATCACAATTGGAATCGATGCAATCAGGTTGACTTTCACTAACCACAACATCGGTAACATCAGCATGATCTATTCTTTTGCTTGTGATATCAGTAGGTGAACTACTATTATTCTTTTTTACGTCCCTCGATCCATGTTCAACAGAATTACTGGTGGGAGAACTAACGTACGACTTGTTGAAATCGTTTTCGAAACTCTTCTCATCCTCTGATATGTTATTCCTTTTATCCCCATTATCTTCCAACCCAAATTCACAGTCCTCCTGATCTCTTGCATTTGATTTGTCAACCTGTTCTGATATTGAGATTTCAGACTTTTCATGTACAGGTTCTGTTTTAATGAGAGATTTTGGCACAGTGTTCTTAGTCCTAACATTTTCAGGAGATTCAACTGCTTGGTCGTTATTTCTGTGTTTACTGAAAGCTCCTGGACTGTACAAGGCTTGAGCAGGTCTACGAGAAGCGGTGGGACTGTTCCTGGGGCTATCACACTGATTCTGTGATCTACCCCTTAACCCACGGCCTCTTCCTCGTCCACGAGGACGGCCTTCAGGTGCTTGTTTGGTTTCCAGGTTTGAACTATTCATGGATTGCTGTGCTTTGCTAATTGAAAACAGAGAAGTTTAGGCACTTAGAAAGTTTGGATTGCCACAATACATCACAAGGTTAATAATTTATTTAAATGTATGTGCTGTTTTATCTGAGTTTTTAACAATTAATGCACAAGATTCTCCCCTTGACGAGTACAATCATCTGGCATTAGACAGAGTAAATAACAAAGTGAGGTACTGTACATTAAAACTGTC